TCCGCCTCTCCTCGCCCCAACGCACCATTTCTGTGCGGTAATCCTCCTTGTAGGCGGCGGATGACATAAGAAGATCCAGATCTAGGTCTTTGAGTCGTGCATACGCTCGTTTGATGGGCTCTGACAGATGAATTATTTTTACAGAGATTCCACTAGCGGACAGGTGGCTAGACAATCGATGCGCTACATAGTCTTTGCCAGACTTTCTTTTCCCCGATAATATGACGAAATTCGTTTTCTCCCAGCTCATAGGCCAGACGGGGGCAAGTATCGCTTGCGCGACTTGAAAAGATTATTAGAAATAAAAAAATGTAGGTTTAGGCCACAACATTAAATCCACCAGACGCAGGATAAACGCTCGTAGAAAGCAAATAAACGGGGGCAGTTGAACAGAATAGTTTTGAATGGATCAGTAAGACGGGTTTTTAGGACGAAAGTACACATTAAGCACAGTTCCGTGCGAAATGTTAGGGCAGTAGTCGACGAAAAAATGAATAAAAACGGGCATTTCCACAAAAGCTAATTTCTAGGGATGTTTTCACTAGAAATGGCCTACACAGACCCGAAAGGCAAACGCTTCAGATAAAGGAGAGAGAAAATGATCAAAAAGGCCTACTTAAGGCAGTTAGTCATTTCTTTTTTCATGGTAGGGCTGTGTAGATATTACTATTATTACTATCTATTTTCTGCTGCATAACCTGATCAAAGCCCTGACTTTATTATATTGGGCGACATTCAGGAGCGCAACAACTGGCAACTGCTACTGTCAAATTTGTGTGAAAAGACCCTAAATTTTCTCTTGTCTATGACGACAAGGTCTGTAGATTTAACCGCAACATTTAATGGAAATGTCTGTGGTTCGTCAAATAAACAGCACTCATAATTATGAATTAACTCGGTAGCCACTTTGCCGACGCTTTTTCATATTCAAAATTTCTCTATTTTCTAAATTTAATTGAATAATTTAACCTCCCGGTCAACGAATAAGCGTAGCCCGTTGGACCATCATGAAAATACACTGCTATTTATAATCACATGTCTTCGTTTAAAATCCAAAAGCTCTCTGCAGGGTTGAACCTACGATCCTTCTGACAGTTCTATGTGATACAGCACCCACAGAGCAAAATAAATTACACGCTCCTGTTAACATTGCATTGGTGTATTGCTGGCTCCTACTAATATAATTTAATTACTATGTGGCTAGGTTGCGATTGCCTTGCTCTTGACAGCATCTACTACGCATAAGCTTACCATCAGTCCTCGTGAGTGGCCCCAAAGTTCTCTATGTTACATGAATTCCACCGATTTTGCGCTCTGTCGAGCGCGATCGAATGCGATGGCAAACTGCACAGACATACACATTCCAAGACAGACGTTTGGCATAAAGAGTGGGTCGCGGAGAA